GATCCCGAATGTCTGAAAATTCTTCGCTTGCGGAAACCGGAACTGGGCACTTCTTCAAATTCGTACCCTTGGATTATTTGCCATGCGCTAAAGTTGAACTGGAGAATGCGATGCGTAGGTCCGAAGATATTTTTCAGGGTGGGGAAAAACTTGACGGAATATTGTTTTATCACAAACTGGGCGCCTACACATCTGGCTATACACCACTAGCTACTTGGCTGAAGGTGATGATCGTTAATTGATTGTTGAATAATTTTTTGAAATTTATTTTGGTTCTGACGAATTTTTGTTCTTGGTCCAGCCTCACATGTTGCCTGACATATTGAACGTATCTGTCCCGGAAGAATTCCTCAAGACTGATGAAGCGATGGAGGGAAATCCTGAGTCGATCCCGATTTCAAGTTCTGACATGGAAGTGGATAAGAATAAACGCTCGAAGAAAATCAAGACTTCTACGAACAAGAATTATGAGATGAAGGATGCTGATGATATTGGTGGTTGATTGATGGTTCTGCGCTTTTTTAGAATGAAATGACGGCGACCCGATTTGAAATTCTTTGATCGACGTTTTTCGTAATGGTTGCATGTCTGGGTAAAATGCATTTTTATTTCTGTTGATTTTTCTGGACGTCAAAGATTTGTTAGCGTATTCTATCTATAGTATTTACGATTTTCGTTTATTTTACAGGGGGAGGGGCCGGGGTGTGTTTAAAAAAACGGAATTCAATGAAAAATGAAGTCCTGTGGAGGATAAATGTTCATTGTAAAGTGATACGCGTGTTTCTGAGATATTTACGATTTTCGTTTATTTTACAGGGGGAGGGGCCGGGGTGTGTTTAAAAAAACTGAATTCAATGAAAAATGAAGTCCTGTGGAGGATAAATGTTCATTGTAAAGTGATACGCGTGTTTCTGAGGTGTTCGTTGGAGTGAAAAAGAGACGGTCAATTTGGTGGACGCGATGACGTTCCAGCCAAATCTAGTGGTGCCAACCGTGCTATGGGGTCAGCACGCCCCTACGCATTGCCCCTCGGTTGTTACCATTTCGAAGGACATGAAGACCATTGCTTCTGGTTCTCTGGATGGACAAGTGATACTCTGGGAAATGGATCCCAAGACAGTCAAGGTAATTCTTCCTTGACGCGCGACTTTTTCTCAACGTCAGATGTCGCCTGAATGCCCATAAATAAGACAACAAGATCCGAAGCACGTTTATTGGAAATAATTCGTGTTCATTTGTCTAAACCAGTGGCCTCTTTGTCCGCGGAAGGCTTTTGCTGATCCGCACAAACTTTTCTTCTGTATTTAATTTATCAGCGGTAGTCATGAAGTCTGTTATCTTCATATGAGATTTTGGAAACACATTGGCAGTATAAATAATCTGTTAAAATTAAAGCTGGCTTTTCTCCCAATAACACTTGACACAAATTTTCACCTACTAAACTAAATTATATCTAGGATTCATTCTGAGAAACCTTTCTTGAAGCCCAGTTTTTAAATTTTTTTAAAAGGCATTCTACTAAACCTTCTTCATTTTCTCTTCACCTAATTTTTGCAATAAAATTTTTTTTTGAGGACTTCATGACAGCTATTTAAAAAATGTGTGCTGGTCTGCAAAAATTCTGCGAATTTGCGCGTCCGTAGGTCCAGAAAGCTTGAGGAACACTGGTATAAACTACTACTTCTGGCCTCATATGCACGTAACAAGGTAACAAAGATTGCGCACCATTTAACTAATATACGTCATGGATCATATATGAAGAGAAATTCGTTTTATGCGAATCCCTTTAAAAATTTGATTATTTCGTTGAATGTGAACGTTTTTTTGGCAGAATCTACGTCTAATGATTTAAACTTGACAATTTCAGATAACTCCGCGGTTGATGTTGATGGGACACAATGCTCCTGTGCTGTGCTTCGCGTCGGCTAGTCACGGCAAAGACATGAGTGCACTTATAAGTGCTGCCGAAAATGGGTAAATTGAATTTTTAGCTACGCAATTGAGTTGGAGTGTCGTGAAAGGAAAGTTTCTGCCTTCTTATGCACCCTCTCTTAACAGGGAAATGTGTCTATGGGATCTGCAAGGGGGACGATGTGTGGAACACACAAAATCGCCGAATGTCCATATAAACTTCACTGTGAGTCATTCGAACAAACTTCGGTAAAAATGCGGGCGAAAGCCGATTCTCGAATTGTTTGCCGAACGTTTTTATTATTATTGACAACGATTTTTTTTTGCAGGGTTATTACGTAACTGAAACAAATGATTATTGGTTGTTGGCGAATGGTTACTATCCTGGTGTTCAAGTCATCAATCCGACGACATTGCAGGTTCTATTTACGTTGACAGCACGGATATCAGCTGATTGGATTAGTGCATTGACGGTCGTCAAATGGGCTGGGAAAAATGGTCAGTTTTGGTTTACTGTACAAATCTATCACATTTCGCAACCGAGATACGAACCGTCGAGTAGTTTGATTCGCACACTGAAACTCTCGGATTGCACCCTTTGAACAGAAAGTAAATTTCTGTAGGAGATTCTTGAAAAGGGGTTCTATACTTTTTTTTTTAATTCGGAAAGAAGCAAATGTTTCTTTGTGCCTCAAGCTTTGGAATCGATCCGCTTTTTCAATTCTTGTCTCCGAAATAGATGTTCTGTGTACTAGGTGTCGCTCAAATTTCTGAACG